AGCAGATGCTAATGGAGCAATCTGATAAACTTCACTGATGACTTTTCAAGTTTCAACGACGACAAAGAAGTGAAAAACCGAAAAAGAAAACTTCAATCTTTTTATTCAACATAAATTATTCGTCATTCGCAATTCACTTCCAGTAATCCATTGAATCTGGGTCAACCCATATCAAAAAACAATCAGCATTTCTAAATCATATTCTGGTCACCGCAATAAATATATTTCATACAACGACTCTTGTAACTTTTCTCATCATATTTGACCCATTATAGATAACTTACTGCTCTATATATCCCCATCTGCAGCCAACAAATGAAAGCACCTTTTTTTATTCCATCCATGAAACTTTTTTTTTTTCTTGCTTCCACTTCGTTTCGACACATATTTACCTTCTTACCATCTCATATTGTTTATTATTTCAAAACCTTAATCTTTCAGGATGTTGAAACTTTTCAACGTTTCTCGAGTCTAGAGCGTTCATGCTTTTTTAAAAATCGATTTTTCATGGAATTATCGGGATGAAAATTTTCTTTTTTTTCCTTCAAACATTTCAACCTGAGAGTCGAAAGGAACAAAATAAAGAGAAATAAAATGTGAAGGTGAATGGAAGTCGAGCAACAAAAAATAAAATGTCAAGTCAAGTGGAATTTTATTTATGATATAAAGAAAAGTTTCAATAATTTTTTGTTGTCTCGTCTTCTGAATTGATGTTGATGAAATGAAGAAAGTATGAGATATGACAGGAGTTTTATGAAGAAATTGAATGACTTTTTGGATCAAAATATTTTTTTTAAAGTTTATTGTTCTAGATCGAATGTTTGTGATTCAATTTTTGAGGAATTGAGTTTAATTATTTTTTGGAGGATTTTATACCAAACTTCAAATTTTTTTGTGATGATCAACGCGAAGAAACTCAAGATTAATCCTGAAAAATCCCAAAAATTCTTAAAAATATTCTTGAGCCAAAAAACATGAAAATGTGAAATCCTTTAAATTCCTGTTGCATTTGATGAATAATTTTGGGATTTGAAAGGGATTTCACAATTTCATGTTTGTTGGCTCAGGGATATTTTAAGGATTTTTGTAATTTTTCAGGATTAATCCTGAGTGTCCACACCTTGCCTTGGTGATGATGTTAAGATGTGTTTTTAAATAGACTAGTCACTACCTACCTCTTGAGTGTCAAGCGAGAGTATAATCCCATTTATATGTCCTTATAGTTTGTGGCACATAGATTTGAAAGTTCCTTAGTAATAATGATTTTAGTGTTCAAGATTTCGAGCTATAAAATCAGGTAAAACATGATAATAATAGATTGAGATTAGGTTTTTTAAGAAGAATCCCTGCCCAATAATCCCCATTGATTCCTTTAAATCTTTTTGGCATACGCTTCAAAATAAGAGCCTTTCTACCAAGCTTAGTATGAATGATAGTACTAAAATCAAGCTAAGAGTGTTGAGATATGCAACCATCAACAATTCAATATCCAAATCATTCTTCCATGCAATCGACTAAAAATAATAGAAAAGTAAAATAACCACAAAATAAAATACCAATGCATCTTAATAGTGACAAAATAAAAACTAGAAAATTGAAAATGGCCAACAATAAATTTGTCTCTATTACCAACTTTTAATTCTCTATCAAACACACAAAAGGAAGCCAAGAAAAGAATCTCTATTCTTTCTTTTTCTTGTTTCAAAAACTTTCTTCCTCTATAAGTAAGGTTTGAAGATGAACTTGCTGGACCGTAGCAAATTTATGTGAATTAAGATTGAGGCGAATGGAAAGTTTCATATAGAAAAAAAAAGTTTCTTTTTTTCGGTTTTTCAGGAACTTCCTGCTGTTGCTTGCATCACATTTTTCTTCTTTTTTTTGTGCTCCGTACACTGTAGCAGCATAGTGTGTATATATTTTTTTTTGTTGAGAAGTTTATTTATCTAACAGTCAGTATAAATGAAAATTCTTCAGTAACAAATTAGTTTCGTAATTGTGTTGGATGGGAAGTGACCGAAAAAAGAGCTCTAAATTTTATTACATTGATATAGAAAGAATTAAGTTATGCTCAAAAAAATTATATACATAGCAATAAGCTGTGCGGAAGAATAAAAAAAAAATATTTCTGACAGCTTAATTTATTTAGCCATCTCGCTCACCCTTAATTTATTTCCTCTCATTTTATTATATTATATGAATATAAAAGCATAACATGTATGAATACGCGAGGGTGGTACAGGCGAATGTGAATGTGACATATGGCATAAAGGCTGCAGCAATAGCAAATTGCAACTCACAAAAAAAATTTATTAATTTTTTTTCTCTCTTTATGCTCGACTCTCAAGTGTTTTGTTGCTGCTGTTGCCGCTGCGCTATATTGTGACAGTAAAATTAGGTTAGGAGAAATGAACAGAATATGCTTGAAATTGCAGAAAAATGTTTTATTTCTTGTTATTGTGACGCGGATATTGCAATATAATGAATTGCATAAATTGCGAATGAAAGCACAAGATGCACACAAATTATTGCAGGACGTGATGTAAGGATGCAATCATGAATTTCTTGGCCTGGAAATAATTTTTAATATTGAACATTTCATTTTTGGACAGTTTTAAGTGCTTTAGACAGCGAAAATTTCTAGGATTGCAATGTTTCCACAATTATGTCATTTTATGTTTGCTGACTCTCGCTTCATCAACAGAAAATTTTTGTCAAAAATGAATCCACTAAGCATGAAATGGAATAAATGAAAATATGTCAAGAATGATGATTCCAAGTTTTATTCGAATGAGATTTTCTTACTGAGAAGTGGAAATTTCATTTCCTCAAGACATTTCTTGGAAGTTCCATGCCTAATGCATGACTGATTGGTATACATTGGATTGACAGTTCAAGGATTTTACATGCTCTACTGAACGTGACGCCTGTCATTTTTTTTTGTGATTTGAGATGGTGTCATTGGTATTCTCAGTGCCAACTGACTCCTTGGTAGGCATTTAATTATACTCTTATTTCAACTAGCAATCAAAGGAATATAAGATTTTGGTCATTAAGTGTAGAATCTTAAGAATTAATAGGCAGTTATGCCAAATTGTAATAGAAGCTAATGGTTACACCAAGGACTTAAATTATCTAATCTAGTCTTTGACGAGGTCGTGGGTTCAACTCTTATGCTAAGCTGGATTTTTCATTTGTTTCACAAGCATCCTCAAATTTAGTATGAATCACCTGCAACTAAGCAAATCGTTAGCTGAGCAGTTTTAAACAAGCTCCTGACCACAAACTTTTATACTTCCTTAAAAATCCCCAAGTTCAAATAACTTGATGCACACAATCAACAGAAGTAAATTTTCAACAGAATCTATTTTTTTCCATTTCTGCAGATTTTTAAATTTCCAAAAATACAAAAAAGCTCAAAACAAAATTACTTCTGCCGTAATTGAGCTACGAAAGTATTTCACGCCCCACTAAAAAACCTTCAAAAAATTTTCATAGCCTGTGAATATCAAAAATTATCACATAACAAAAAAACGGAAGTTGCTAATTGTGAAAAGTTTTTATTATATTTTTTCACATAATTATTAAGATTCATGTAGCAGTGTAAGGCTGTATACAGCTTTTACAACCTTCTTCACAAGCGATATGATAATGAAATAGATGAGTAGTGAACAAGATCCAGCAGTGATTCTACTTCGCAATGTTAGAAAAAAAAGCTAATTTAATTTTTTTTCGCTTCTCAAATGGCCCAATAAAATAAAAATGAGCAAGTAGCGCTTTCATAAGTACACTTGAAAAAAGTACAAAAGAAAAAGTACGAGAAGAAGGAGATAAGAGGAAAAAGTTTTTAATGCTAAAGTTATGGATGCAGATGAAAAGTTTTGTTCTGTGTCTTTTGCAATTTGAGGTGTTTGCATAACTGAATTAAAACATTCCACTTCTAATGAGTCGCTAACGTGAGATAATTATAACTTTTTTTTTCATCATTCCTTCAAACTGACTATCGTGGAAAAGCTCGTATTTTTTATGTACTACCTCAGTTCTTGTCGTTTTCATTATAATTGCAAGATATGAACGAAAATTAGATTGAAGCATAATGCAGTGACTTTAGCGCTCACGTCTTTGAATGAATAAAATGCGCATATCGCCAAAAGGATGAAAGGAACGGGGTTCATGTCCAAACTTAACTGTTTATCAGTCTGTCCAAAAATAATTGTAAGATACGAATCAGAAACTAATTACTTGAAATTAGTGTTCTTATCTCAAATTGATTTTATTGGCGTCGCTTTTGTGTGTTGCTTGGGGTTATTTTGGAATGGATTTCAGATTACTTTGAATGCTATCTGCTTTGTGATGACGATGATGTTGCCACAAGCATTTATAGATGGAAATGTTGTCAATATTTGAATGACATTTTGATAATTAGTGTGGGAATGTCTGTAGTTTATGTCCATTGGAACCTATACGGCTTGTTTCACTAAGGTGGATTATCCACCAATCGGATCATCCAATTTTTCAATTCGAGGATAATCAATAAAAATTTTTCACTTCGTTAAACTGAACGGTGAATCGGAAAAAATAGATTTAAATAAAATAATTTTTTGACGATGGATTTCACAAAAAAAGATTATCCTTTTAGGTGAATTATCCGAAGATTATCCTGAGATCATCCTAGGATTATCTCAAAATTAATCTAAAATGTTAAAACTGGGTCCCCCATGATTGAAAATTCGGATAATCTTCAGGATTATCCTAGGATAATCCATATACCAAAATTATTTTTTCGCTATATTCACTATAAAATAAAAAGATTTTTTATCAAACTGTTCTGATTATTATTAATCAATTAATTCTACATCAGAAAAAAATTATTTGGATTTTCCACGCATCGAAGAAATAGATAATCCTAAAATGAGGATAATCCACCTTAGTGAAACAGGCCGCTAGTTCTACTATCCGAGTCTTTTTTATTTAAAACTTATCTCTAGGACAGTCAATAAAGAAGAGCTGTAAAACCGTCAACAAAATTTATTCCATCCAACTTAATTATGACAACATTTTACTATGCACTTCTACAAATCATCTCTTTTATTCATTTTGATAAGAGAAGCTCATTACGTTATAATTTGGCATCATTTCTACAGACTCACAGTTCGATGGAGTCCAAACTGTTGGATGAAACAATGGCTGATGAACTGGATTTACTGGATATGTATGCTTGTTACGGTGCTGATTCGATTTGTTCTTATACTTCGAACCTCCACTTCCACTTCGAACATAACGTAATGTCCATGAATTTTTGAGCGTCAATGGATTATTCTTGTTACTATTTCGCCCTTGACATTGCTCCGACATTGCTTTATTGAGCTCTTTAATAATTTTATTTCGTCGTCCGGGAATTAAGAGATCATCGAAACTAAACTTCATTTTATATGTAATGAATTTATCATCCATTCTGCCTTTCCTCCACATAAAGTTCATTTCGGACTTTGTGTTGCATGTCGGTTGGTGTGTGAAACCAATTGGTATGTTACATTCGCCGCATATGAGAAACTTTTCCAATAATTCTGCACCAAGTACATAAAAATGATTCATGAGACTGTAAAATCCATTACGAAATTCTTCTATAATGTTACTGTGTATGAATGTGAGTGAGTGAGTAAGAGGAAGAGATGTGAGATTTATTGGCATTATTATTATGATTATGAAGGATCGGATGGATGTTATGTGATGCTAAGTTGAAATGATAGGGATCAGGCTATCGACCTGTGTCGATTTGATAAAAGTATTAAGGTATGAAACAATTACTATTACATAACATTCAAGCAACCCCCATCTGCTGAGGTAATTGAACTATTTCATCATCACTTACTTATTGTGCTCATAAACTGCTTTCAATTCACTATGAGTCGGACAAACAACTTGCATAATGAAACTGTCAAATTCCTCAATTGTTTCAATCTTCACCTTTTCACTGTACAATGACAGGATCCTAAACAGAGAGATAAGAATCACAATTAGAAGCATTAAATGTCACATGTCCTTTATACTTACTGTGTGAATGTATCTAATGTCTCTTTCAGATGCTCCGTGCTATCAAAAATTTTCTTCTTTGGCACTTTCAAGAACATTGAACTTCCAATCACCTCAGGCATTGCAACATCCTCCAATGATTGCAGAGAGCTTGCAAAAAGATTGGCATTCCTGCAGACTTCGTTTATAGAATTTGTAAACTCATTAAAGTGCTTTATGCTCTCATTGATGATGTGCTTTGTATTTTCATAAGTATTTGCTTTATTCAATTGTTGTTTCTGTGGCTCATTCGCCTTTTCTACAAACGATGGAGCTATAAATGCCATTCCTGATATTTTTTTTTGTTGCAGAAATATTTTTATGCAATTAAGAGAAAACAATGAAATGAAAATTGCACAAAAATTTTCTCATCTACTGCCACGAATCTTATTTCAATGTTTACTGTGACTAGAAAAATTAATTAAAACAATTTTCAACGCAGTTCATATTTTTCTGTGTCGCGAGAACAATCTTTGTTGCACTCGCTGATTCACTTTGTCGTGTGAATTTCAATGATTTGAAATCTGAGGATTTAAGTCACGTGTCGGGATTGAATTGAAAGTTTATGTTTGTAAATTTGTTCTTTTGATGATTCAAATCAATATTGTGGTTGGGGTTGATGATGTTGTGTGATGAATTGGATTGAATGCTGTCATGACTATTTAATTTTTGTGGAATTCAGATTTGGATAAAAATTTCGAAGTTTAAGCTTTTAAAGTTACTTTGAAGCTGTTTAATGAGGTATTGCAGCTCAACTTTTAGCTACTCTATGTCATAATTTTATGTCAACGGTATGTTATTAATATTGATTGGTTTTGGTGGGTCCACGACAATTTACCAACATTAATAGACAATGGTCTTTGTTGATGCCATAATAAGTATCTTTTGGTCAGTGATCGGTTTTATTTTGGAGCATTCATGAAAGCAGAACATGATCAACTAGAATGGGACTCGAACTCACACCTTTTGATGTATGTATCATTAGTTACCAATTATATTGGCTTAGGTTTGTAACTAATCGTCCCATAGGTCATATATTTAATCATTCCATATACAGTTTGCATGGTGATGATCTTAGAGATGCCAGAAGCACTGACATAGATATTCTTAAACGTGCATGGCATTAGCTGGTCTTTCGCTAATTTATCTTCTCAACTTTTATCTTTGAGTTCATTCAGGTCCTTCATAGATCAGAATTGAGTTTTCTTTCTAATCCATCTGTCTACCTTTTATCCCCAAGATGCCATCAAATGCGCCACATCCACATACAATTCACACATCCTCCATATTCATTTTTGTTTCAATTGCCACATTTTTAACACAATTGTGTACTTTTTTTAATTGAAAATTCTTAATGTGTAACGTAGCATGAATTTTTTATGAAGCACTGCAAATTCCTTACTCCTTTCCACTTATTTACTATTATTACCATATTTTGTATTTTTTTTTGTTTAAAAAGATGAAAGTTTTTTATTATTAACGTTGCCAGGTTGTATAACTTGATTGTAGACAGAACGACACGAAAAGCTGGGGGATGAAGCTTTATTTATTCATCCAGAATTAAAGCATAACAATAAATTTGAAAGCATATGGCATTAAAATTTTATTGTCAGGTACAAAAGCTTAAGCAATATAAATTGAGTGATGAAAGCAGATTAAAATGGAAAATAAGGAAGACTGCCTTTTATGTGAGCAATTTCCAACCCCTGTGAAAATTTATTTTTCTCCAACTCCACCGATGAGGGTAGAAAAAGTTACATACACAAAAAAATGTCATGTAAATTTCATTGCATTTTCCAAACTCAACCTCATGAAGCAGTAAAAAAAAATCGTGAAAAGAGATTTATGAATGCCTCTCTCTTTTTTACAACCGACAAATATTTTGCATAAATTACTCTGTTGTTTGTTATGTGGACATACAGGCTGAAAATTTTATTTTTTCAACATAATCCTTGCTTTATGATGCATGATTTTTACTCTTTAATATTGCACGTGGTATACACAAAAAAATGCTGAATTTTTACAAGCATGGAAAGAGCTTAAAATTTCATAAATCACGTTTTGCGTTACACACGAGCGACAGCTTTTTGTCGCGATTTTATGAAACAACATAAAACATAACATTTATTTTAAAATAGTTTGGATTGCATTCTTTCATTTGATTGCATTTGTGTGATTTCTATTGTGCAGCTGTTGTGAGAGCTCTGAGGGCTGTGATTTTGACATTTTGTTTGGCTTTATTCCTTTTAATGACACGTGGACTTGATGGTTCTAGTTTAACTTAACTTCAAAGCTTAAGATGAGCTTAGAGCCTTGGAGATGGAAGACGATCATTGCCGTGCTTAGAGATCGTCTGAAGACAGCTCTATCCTTAGAAATCTTCTTCCAGTTTGGGATTCTAGGCTTTTCAGTGGTTATAAAGCTCTCAAGAAGAGATTTGTGTGACCTTGAGCTTTACAAATGCTATTTGTACCCAAAAGTGACATGACTAGCGAGTCCAGAGAAAGCCAGGCACTCATTCATCTTGAAATCAATATTCAAAAAAACCTGAAAATTTGTTCAACGGTCCTTTCAGAATTAATCTACTCATAATTAAATTTCAATTCCATCTACTAGAACTTACCTCCTTCCAACAGCTCCAAAAGCTCACATCCAATAAAAAGCGCATTTATTCCAATCCAATATTCACAAATTTCACATCCTCTCACATACTCAACAGAGTAAAATTTTATGCTTGCAATGCGGAAATTGATATGAAAAACTAGTTCAGCGAGTCATGTTCATATTTTAGAAATGTTTCACTCAAAAATGATAAGAAAGGCCTTTTTTGAGCAATGTGCACGTTTTAATTTGAACTCATTGATTTATTGGCATGAGTGTATGAGATTGATAAAAATGAATTACTGGTGTAGAAACTTTTATGTATGCGACAGATAATGTGAGGGGAATATGAGTTTAATTTAAAACTGGTATGGGGGAAAATTGAAGTTTAAAAGTGGACATTTTGAGATTAGGAACCAGCTCAAAAATAAAGAATTCAAATAATTTCTATTTTTAAAAACATTTTCATATCAAAGCACAAAATTCAAATTTCCTTAAATTTTCTTCAAAAGTATGTACATGATTTTTGCATATCTCTATATAAATGCAAGCTTGCACATGCTATAAAATAATTGTTGTTGTTCTCGCTGGTAAACAATTTCAAAATATGTTATGAACACATCAAGATAATAGACGTAAATTTGAATTCGATTGCGTGCATGTAAAGCTTTTTTGTTCAGACGTTTAAGCATCTAGTGGGGAAGGTATGGGGGCACAACAATAGGAAGAGGTAAAAAGTGCAGTAAATCACATTCACTAGGCTGCTCAATGAATAAGGAACGAATAAAAAAAAAAAAGAAATCCTTCCACATTTCCTCATCCAGGCATTTTGAACTGCCTGTTTCTCAGCGTGTAAAAGAAAATATGCACAATAAATCAATCTCGAGTTCATTGTGTGATGTTATCGGAAAACGGAAAGCGAGACATGATGTGGCACATATTGTAAAACATAACATGAACAGAAACATACATTTATGTCATAGATATATACAGCACAGCAATTTTCATCATAAACATCTTCAACAATAATCATTTGTACCCTTTTTGCCTTTTCCTTCATAATTTTATTTATATGCGACACACAAATCACTCAAGTGCATTTATGCTTGTGAACACACATAAACATTAAGTTAAGTTTTAATGAAATAATTGGTGCATTAATAATTAATTACCTCCTTTTTGCTATTGTTCACTATGCACATGCTTTACTGTGGCTTTTTTTCTTCTTTTCTTCTCAGTTGCTTTTCTTCTTTTCGTACTTTTTTTTGTGCTGCACATATGTGAAACTTTGAATTTCTTTTATTTTCGTGCTGCTTCTTCTTTTTTCATTTTAAAGTCACGTCAAGCATGAAAATTTTTCTGCTATTGAGGTAAATTCAGTGGAAAATTTGTATATACAGCAATAGACACAAATCATTGCCATAGCATCAACTATAGTTGTATGGAATATACCACATGAACATAATAGAGTATAGACATTGAAGGAAACTTTCCCTAATATTATGAAAGTTATTTATGAGATATTAAAGGGAGTATATAGGAATGAGAAGATTTGGATACAGCATGTTTTCTGGAATGGATGGGCGGCATCCTAGGAATTTATCTATTAAAAAAAATTCATAATTTCATGCGAATCCACAAGATATTTTCAATTTAAAAGGCAATTGTGTGCATTGGTTTAAGGTTATGTTTTATCTTTTACATTTATTAAAGGAAATAAATGGGATTATGTAGTTAAAAGTTATTGACCTGAAAGTGGGGTTTAAAGCTTGAAATGGAGATACATAAATAAAACACAACATGATGGGTTGGGGTTGCAAAAAATCCAGCTTCTTTGGTTTGATTCAATAATGCAACTGCAGGATCAAGTGAGGATAAATCAGCATCCTCCCGAATCGGAGTATGATTAACAGTCGATCAAGCTACACCTTTAACTCCAATGCTAGCAAACAGAAATTTTTTAGTTCTTATTATTCGAACTTCGAATTTTTGAGGTTCTTATTTTTCGAAAATCGAATCTTCGAAGTTCTTATTTTTAAAAAAAATTCGTTGTGAATTATTATTTTTCGAGTGATTTGTAATTTTAGTGAACATTCCTACTACTTTTTATGATTAAGATAATAACTGTGATGAAATTGCATTCCTTAAATGTTTATGCTTTATGCTGTAAATAAAAAGTAACAGACTTTCTTATTTTGAAATGTTAAAAAAATACCGCGCGAAAAATTTGAAATTTTTTTGTTTGTAACGGACTCTATTCTCTTTGCTAACATTGGCTATGATCAAAACCAAAAATGCTTTAAATTGCATTTTAAAACAAAAATAGGTTTTATAAATGATAAAAAATGCTTATAAAGATATAAAATCGATATTTTTTTGAAAATAGCCTACTATGATCAAAACCAAAAATGCTTTAAATTGCATTTTAAAACAAAAATAGGTTTTATAAATAATAAAGAATGCTTATAAAGATATAAAATCGATATTTTTTTGAAAATAGCCTACTATGATCAAAATCAAAAATGCTTTAAATTGCATTTTAAAACAAAAATAGGTTTTATAAATAATAAAAAATGCTTATAAAGATATAAAATCGATATTTTTTTGAAAATAGCCTACTATGATCAAAACCAAAAATCCTTTAAATTGCATTTTAAAACAAAAATAGGTATTATAAATGATAGAAATGCTTATAAAGATATAAAATCGATATTTTTTTGAAAAAAACCTACTATCATCAAAACCTAAAATGCTTTAAATTGCATTTTGAAACAAAAATAGGTTTTATAAATGAT